CGCGGCCGGGGCCGGTCGGTGCTGGGGCGACGGCCCGTGCGCCCCTCCCCAGAGTCCCACCTCCCGGGCGCGCGCCGCCGCTGGCGGTAAAGTCTCCGAAAGCGTGAAGGGGGATTGGAGGAGGTTTTATTTCCCTTTGTGCCGGTGGCTGGGGCCGGATCGAGGCGGCCGGGCCGGGGGCGACGGGATCGGGGCGCCCCCCCGCGCGGAGAAGAGGGCAACAGGGGTGCGCCGGGCCGGGGTCACAGTCCCCGCGGCCCAACTTTGCGCGCGGCGCCCGCGCCGGGGTGAACCCACCCACTGCGCTGAGAACCGGGCGTCTAGGCTGAGCCCGAGGCGGGGGCGTCCTCCCGCGGCGCTTCCCCGGGTGCCCCATCCCAAGAAGGGGTCCCGGAGCTTCCCGGAGGCGGCGGCTGGTCGGGTCACGCCCGGGGACCGCGCTGCCCGCGAAAACTCCGTGCGCCTCTGCGGACGCCCTTCGCCCTGGCCGGACCACCCTGCTGTCGTCGGCTTTCCCGGCCCCGCGGGGCCGCCTCCCGCCGCCGTCCTCCCAGAGCCTGGCTAAGGTGGGCTTCTGCGCCTCCTCTCCCTACTCCTCCTTCCTCTGTCCCCCCTTTCTCCAGGGGCAGCCGAAGCGCACACCTGACCTTTCCCTTCCCTTCCCACCCCCTTCCGCCCGCCCCCTCCACCTCCACCTCCTTCTCTCCCTCCTCCTCCTCCTCCTCCTCCTCCTGCTCCTCCGCGCCCCCCTGCTCTCAGGGTGCTCCACCGCGGAAGGGAACCTGCAAGGGGGCATGTGGGTGCCCCTCTGACAGTGGCTAGGTTTGGAGTGGCACGCGCCAATGGCCAAGTGGCTGCGCGACTATCTGACCTTCGGTGGTCGGAGGCCCCCTCCGCAGCCACCCACCCCGGACTACTCCGAGAGCGACATCCTCAGAGCTTACCGCGAGCAGAAGAATCTGGACTTTGAGGACCCCTATGAGGACGCGGACAGCCGCCTGGAGCCTGACCCTGCGTGCCCCGGCGACGCCAAGGGCGCTGGAGATGCCAAGTATGACTCTCCTAAACATCGACTCATCAAGGTGGAGGCAGCTGACATGGCCAGAGCCAAGGTCTTGCTGGGCAGTCCAGGGGAAGAGGTGCGTGGATGCTTTCACAGAGGTTGGGTGGCCCCAGAGGGGTGGGGAGGGCCAGGCTGGAGCTTGGACTTTGGGTGCTTGTTTTATGCGAGACCCCAGCCCGGAGCCCCTAGGGCACCAGCCAGACACTTCCAGACTTCCAGTTCTGCTTGGCAGAGTTAATGTCTGGCTCTTTGCAATGCACTGGGCTGCTTGCCCCCCACTCTCAGGTGGCCTCTGCTTTGTCTCCCTGATCCCCCCTCCCCCCAGCTTCCCTCCCTCTTAGCAGCTGGTGGGCCTTTCTAGAAGAGATCCGAACACCCTTTCTGCTTTAAGCATCCCCATTGTACAGAAGTGGAAACTGAGGCTCACAGAAGACAAGCAACTGGCTCAAGGTCGCATGGCTTTGGCTCACTAGAATTTGAACTTAAACGGCCTCTAACATGCATTCTCTTTTCAGTATCTTTCCTAGAAGATTAGGGAGTGAAGCCCAATCCCCGGGCCAGGCAGAGAAAGATTTGAGGTGATGAGACTGTAGGTTAGTGACTGAGATCACAGAGAATGGCAGGAAGATGTGGGACTCAAGGGTGCAGACAGGTGGGGGGCAAAATATGACCTCCTTGCTTATGTACTGTGTGACCCTAAGCAAGTCACTGACCCTCTCTGTGCCTTGGTTTCCTCGTCTGTCAAATGGGAATGATGTACTTACTGAGTGTTGGTATCACAAGGAAATATTTCTAAAACATTTAAACAGTGCTGGAAACTGTTAGAATTATGAAGACGGGAAGGAGGGGTCTGGTTGGGAGTATCAGATATGGATACGCAGGGAGAGAGCAAGGGAAGGTGGTGCCAGAAGACACCCCCAACCCAAATCCCCAAACCCCCAAGTAGAACAAAGTTATGCGTGGAAAGACCTAGAGAGGACAGGCTGAGTGCTCCATCACGCAGAGCTAGGCTTGGCCTGAGACCCTGTCCTCTCCCCTTCCTTCTCTCTCCAGCTGGGAGTGGATGCTGAGTACTCGGACCCCTTTGATGCTCAGCCACATGCACCACCCGCCGATGACAGCTACATGGAGCCCTACGATGCCCAACGGGTCGTGAGTGGTGAGTGGACAGTTCTAGGGAAGGGGAGATGGTCCCAGGTGGGAGCGACAGTTGACCGATGTTGTTGGCCTCTCAGAACCACCATGCAAGGGCGTGCAGCTGTATGACACTCCCTATGAGGAGCAGGACCAGGAGCCAGGGGCGGACGCTCCTTCGGGGCGGAGGCCGCGACAGAGTCGGCTGCCCCAGGAGGATGAACGCCCGGCAGATGAATATGACCAGCCCTGGGAGTGGAAGAAAGATCACATCTCCAAGGCATTTGCAGGTGCTCCCCAACTCAGGCCCTCTCCTCTACTACCCACCACCCTCTACCACCTGCCACTTGGCTGTTGGTTAATTCTCATGAAAGTGTGAATGATACAGGAGAACCTGTATCTCCCTTGGAAACTAAAACACGGTTTCGAGTGCCGTGAAACCTGCTTATCCTGTCAGGTCTGTGCAGGTGAGGCCTTAGGGTCCGCCAAAGCCAGGTGGCGTCACTGACTTGAGCAAGTCACTGAGTTTCTCCCAGTCTCAGTTCCCTCACCTGTAAAATGGGAATTCTTAGAGTACTTACTCACAGGATGCTTGTGAACTGAGTACTACAGTGTGCTCAGTTTTCCAGGATCTCTTGGTAACTTTTCTTTCACAGCAACTGTCCTTAGATGGAATTAGGGCTGGTTCCTGAGCCACAAAGCTCGGGCAAGTCTCTGAAACTCAAGTTTCCTCTTCTGTAAAAGCCATCAGATCAGCTTCCAGAAATAAAATCACTTGGGGTTGCATGGACCCAGCTTTGCCCCAGAATTCGTATGACTGACAGGGAAACTGGGGCTCCCTGCCTCAGTCTACCCATCTAGCCACCACTCCTGTTCTCTAGTTGACTCACACTCGTGGCACTGCTCTGCCCTCGAGAGCCATCTGTCTTGTCCGTGGCCACACCCCTTCTCCTGGGTCACAGTGGGTTGGACTTACCCCTTTCTTCTCTAACCCCCCTCCAGTGCAGTTCGACAGTCCCGAGTGGGAAAGGACGGCTGGCCCAGCCAGGGAGCTCCGGAGACCCCCGCCCCGGAGCCCCCAGCCCGCAGAGCGCGTAGACCCAGCGCTGCCCCTGGAGAAACAGCCGTGAGTGGGGAAGCTGGACAGGGAGGAGCCCAGCTCGGTCCTTCCAAGTCACATCCTGGCTACGGCTTTTTCGGGTTGGGAGGGGGCGCGGAAGGGGCTGCTGGAACTGTGATCCATTCATTTCTTCCACTAGTCACTGAGCGCCAGCATTGCTGGTGTCAGAGCCTGAGGCAGTGCAAGGCAGAATCAGACGCAGGCTCGCTCTGGCATCAGATTCTGGGTTCACATTCCTGCTCTGCCCCCCTGGCTGTGTAGCTTTGAACAAATGACGTCACTTCTCTGAGTCTCCCACTCAAACCTCCAAGATGGCGCAGATACTGAAAGGGGGGATTTCCTCCCTTCAGTTGAGTGGGGAGAGCAGAGACAGAGGTCGTTTCACAGCCACAAGATCTTGCGGCTGGCAGGGTCTGGGCCTACCAGCCTCGGGGCTCCTGGAGCCCCGGAGCCAGGCCCCCTCTCTGCGTGGGCCATGGAGAACTGGCCAGTTAGCATGGAAACCCAGCAAGTTTGTTCTCGTTTCAAGCTTCTTTCAGTACAAACAACCGCTAAGTGTGTTTGGTGCTGTGTGTTTGGCGCCTCACACCGCTAACCTCTCTGTGGACACATTAAACAATATTAAGTAAAGAATGGTACAGGTGAGTGGGGAGACAGGATGTGGTGACTCATGAACGTGTGATTGAGGTTAGGGGGTGGAGGAAAGTCAGGGCACCTGAGGATTCAGCTTAGTGGGGGGCTGGGAGAGTCAAGGTCAGGTGTAGGTGTTGATTTGCAGGGGAGAGAGGGGCCCCCCTGGCCAGGGCTCAGGTCTCTTCCGGGGGAGCCATGTGGCCAGCACACCAGGCCCTCTTGAGGAGTCCAAGGTAACCTGCTTGTCTACTTTGTACTGGGCGTGCTGGCCTGCGGCCTCGGGCAGGCCACTGGGCTGTGCTGGAGGGCAGACCCCCTCCCGAGCCTCTGCCTGCTCCTAGGTGGTTTCACGGACCCCTGAATCGGGCGGATGCGGAGAACCTCCTGTCGCTCTGCAAGGAAGGCAGCTACCTGGTGAGGCTCAGCGAGACCAGCCCCCAGGACTGTTCCCTATCCCTCAGGTGAGGCCCCAATCCCCTGGAGAGACAGGTCCCAGGTCTGCAGGTGACATGCTTCACGTTAATTCCGCGGGAACACAGGTGCGGCTCCAGCAGCCAGTGGGTGGGGCTTCTGAGTCAGGGTGAGGCTTTCAGGGTGATGGGCAGGGCCTGTAGACACGGACGGCTTCTGGGCCACTGCTGGCCCGGTTTCTGCTGGGCCTGAGCTAGCTCCCTGCCTAGGTCCGAAGAACATGGAGAGGAAGCTGGGCAGTAAGTCTAGGCCTCCGGGAAGAGAGTGACTCAATGTCCCTGGTGCCTTTGAACTCCACTTGTCAACACTGTGCTGTCTGTGTCTGTCTCGGGCCAGAGTCTCAGCATGGTCCCATATGCATTTGAGTGTTTCTCGGCCTGAGGGTCTAAGTGTATCTGATTATAAAACATTCTTTTTTTTTTTTTTTAAGATTTATTTATGTAGACATACAGAACTGGGGTACAGGTTAGAGGTGCAGGGTGGTGAAGAGGACTCACCAGAGTCAGAGTGGGGAGAAGAAAAGACAGATGGATGAGGTACACTGCTGAGGGGAGCAGCAGGGAGACAGGAGAGGTCTGCCGCGCCCTGTGGGTCCCTCCCTGGCTGGGGACCGAACTCATGCTGCAGTGGCTGTGGATAGGCTCATAGTGCTGTGCTTTATCCCATTGAGCCACCGGGAGGGCTCTATAAAACATTTTTAAGATCCTGTTAGGCTTCTGAGTGTGAGATTACTCAAAAAGGGAGGAAGAGGATTAGACATTAGAGGCAGATTCAAATCCTGCCTCTGCCACTTGCTAGCTGTGTGGCCCTGGCTAAGTCACCCTCTCTGGGCCTCAGTTTTCTCATTGGTAATAGGAGGCAATAGGACACGAAGAAGCAAATGGAAAAAAATACAGGCGAGCTGAGAACAGGACCGGGAACAGGAAGTGCTTCGTTCACATTGGCGGTGATGATGAAATGGTTCCGGGTCATTCTACCCACCTGAAATGGAAAGAAAGGAAAAAGACCCCAGCTTGGGGGTTCACTAGTGGAAAGCCCAGGATGGGACACACAGGGCTCGGGAATGTTCTGGAGGAGGGACCTGGTGGGGCCTCAGCCTTCCGAGAAGCCCTGCCAGGGTGGAACAAGCCTGCCCCTTGGCCCCAAGTGCTGCTCTAGCGGGCGCTGAGGGGTTCGCTTTAGGGGTGGAGAGTGTGGGTAGTTCTGGGCCACTTGAGACCCTCGGACCCCTGTCCCCAGGAGCAGCCAGGGATTTCTGCATCTGAAGTTCACCCGGACTCGAGAAAACCAGTTGGTGCTAGGCCAGCACAGCGGCCCCTTCGCCAGTGTGCCCGAGCTGGTCCTCCACTACAGCTCACGCCCGCTGCCGGTGCAGGGCGCTGAGCACCTGGCCCTGCTGTACCCAGTGACCTCGCAGACGCCCTGAGCGGGAGACTGCTTCCTGCCCTGTGTCCTGGCCCCCAGTGAACCCTGGAGGTCTTTCCAGTCCTGGGAGAGGCTGGGGGGAAAGTCTTGTGCCCTCCGGGGTCCAGGCCTTCATCGGGGCCGCCTTCTCCCGCTCCCTCTGTGGTCCCCAATCATGTCTCAAAGCCCTCTCTGGCCAGGAAAATAAATAACTTACTGTGTGTTTCAAATGTCCTTTCTGGGAGGCAGGGATCCTGCTCTGAAGGAAGAGTAGAGACAGGTTCCTGGAGAGGGGAGGGCGTCATGGCCCCCCACAGCTCATTGTGGGGGTAGAGCTGGGGTTGCTGCCTGAATTGCATCCACAGTTGAGGGAGCAAAGCGCAGCGGTGGAGACAACGGACAGAGAGCGAGTGGGGCAGGTAAGAACCAGGAAGCCCAGGCAGAGACAAAGATGGAGAAACTAGGGGGCAGGCTCTTAGGCCAGCCCCGCCTCCACCCCACCCCCTGCCCCATCTGGGCAGGCAGCTGAGGCCTGATGCCTTGGCCTGATGTGAGGAAAGGACATCTGTCCCCATGGAAACAGTAGAGGGGGAGGGGAGCCGAGCCCAGCTGCTGTCACTTCAAGGGGACAGTCAGGCAAGAGACCCCGAGGACTGATAAATGCCAGGCAGCCTGGGTCTCCCTCCTGGCTCCCCCCCAACTTCCAAGCCTGCCTGGGTGGGCGATACCAGCTGGGGAAGGGGGTGCTTCCGGCTCAAGGCACTGTTGGCTTCCTGGCTAACTGGACATGCAAGGATGAAAAAGGGGAGCTGTGAGTCATCACAAAGCTCCCTCACCACAGTGGACCTCTCCAGCCACCCCTGGGGCTTCTGGGCCCCCCTATGAACCCTCAGATCTCTTTAGCACCCCAAATCAATGCAAAATCTGACTTTGCTTTTTTCATGGTTTTTTATTGACTGTTCTGGGGGCAGGGGGCTGGTCCAGGGCCGGATGAATTCAGTGACCGTGGGGTGAGCCCCCCGGAATCAGTTCCATTTTCATGTGCCCACTGAGAGATCCTCACTGGATCTCTGGGGATTCCAATTCCTCTTTCCACTTGAGAGGAATCCTTGCCTCTGGTTACCCAGATGGGCCTGAGTCAGGGGAGATTCCTACTGTAGAGATGGGGTTCCTGGGACCTGGGGCGGGGGCCAGGGCTGGGAGCCCCATTTAGTCGTGGCTTGCAAAGTTGGGGGACAGAGGTGGAATAGAAGCTCTCAGGCCTCTGGTCCTCCCTCGGGATGCCCAGCGCCCTCCCCTCTGCAGCTCTGGCCTCAGTCTTCTTTGGGGTCTGCCCCTGCTGGACTAGGACGTTGCTGTAGAGGGGGTTCTCTGGAAGGGAAGAGGAACAGTCGCTTGAGAGCCTGACCCTTCCCAGCCCATCTCTGAGGGCTTTGTCTCTGCTTCTGAAAATATGTTTCGGGCCGTTTCTCCATCTCTTCTCCCCCGCCCTCCCGCTCTGCCCCTCCCCCCTTCCCGAGGGCAGGTGTCAGAAGAGCGGCGCGTCCCGTCCCGTCCCGAGGCTGCAGTTTCCGCCTCCGCCACAGGGGGCGTGGCGGGGTCGCCCTCGGCGAGGCTACCCGGGTAGTTACCTGACTCCCAGGGCCCGCGGCGGCGCCTGCGGCTCCAGGTCCCCACGCCCAGTGCGATCGCGGTCAGGACCACCGCCACGCACCCCAGCAGCAGCGCGGGGTGCTTCCCTGGCGGGGCTGATGAAGTGGGCGGCCTGACTGAGGATAGGTTCGGAAGAGAGCTGCCCGGGCAGCCTTCACCCGCGAAGCTGGAGATCTGGTGCCGGTCCAGCGGGCCGTCTGCACAGAGGAAATGTCTGACGAGGTAGGGGGTTGCTTGCCCTCGAGCCCCAGGCTCTGGCATCGTCCAGAGTCAGGGTACCACTCCAGGCGGGAACTCAGGGTCCCTGCCCCCACCATGCCCTGTGAGTTGGGGTACGTGCTGGCTCTGCACCTATTTCCTTTCTGAAGAGTGAGCTTTTTATCTTGCTGGGCTACTGTGAACCCCAACTGTGCATTTTGTTTTTTTTTTTAATCAAGCACCATCCTCCGCTTGAGTCCTGCGGGCCCTGTCAGGGGCCCGACAGCCGCATAACCCCCATCCTGAGCTCCACCCCTTCTCCCCCAGTCAGCTCCAGGATCCATCATCCTCACAGCCCGGTCCCTGTACCTTTACTCTGCCAAACCCGTTTTAATTCCAAGTAAAGGAGGGCTCTGAGCGCATCTGAGAGCATGAGTACTTTCCCGGGGTCACATGCCCGGGCACCAGCTTCACCCTGGTCTGAACAAAGGTGCTGCTAACCCCAGTTTCCCTCTCCTTCCCTCACAAAGGGGGAAACATGCTTACACTGGTTTGAACACTTGAATCTTGCCGAATAATCAGCTCCGTGGACATCACGGTAACCATTTATGTCTCTCGGGGCATACTGTGTCCCAGACAATGGAAATGCTTTAGCTATAATCACTTAAAATTCACCCAACAGTCAGCTGAGTTTCAACAACTAGGAAAACCAGCTCAGAGGGGTCAACCTACTTGCCCCAGGTCACACAGCAGGGAAGGCTGAGTGGGCATGTTCCAGGCCCCTATATTTGGCATGAGCCCCAGACAAAGGCTCCTTCTGCTGTGAATAAGATGGGGCTCAGCGGCCCCAACCCCTGCGCTGGCTGCCGGCTGGGCTGGGGTGGGTGCCGTGCCGCTGGGTGGTGAGATGCCAGCTGTGAGGCTCTGGAACCAAGCCCGCCCCTCGCTCGCAGCTGCCAACTGAGCGCAGCCTGGCGTCAGGCTATCCCGCCTCTGCTAATTGGTAATCGGCACCCTGCTCACAAATGGGGACGGGGCAGGCAGAGCGGTCACAACACGCCACCCCGAGGCAGGCAGTGGGCGGGACCTGCCAGCCCGAGAGGAGCCGGTGCGGTTCTCACTTCTGCCCGATAGGGGGCAGGTATGTGCCGGAGGCCGTCGGGAACCACCGAAGCAGGGGCGCTCCGGCTTGGTCTCCAGCCCGCACGCAGCGTTTACCCATTGGGGTGTCCTGTAAGGGTTGGGGCGTGTGTGATCTGGCTCTTGAGAAAGCCGGCTGCACCCGGGCTCGTGTGTCTCTCTGGACAGGCCTCGGTTCCTCGCTGTCTCACCTGCAGGCGGCTGGCTCAGCTGATCTGAGCGAGTCAATGTCTTTCCAGGCTGGATTCTAGAATTCTTTGCCTTAACGTGCGCTGAGATGGCAAAATTCTAAGAGTGTATTTGAAGTGTTTGAGAGACTGCAATTCTAAGGTTCTAGAATCGTCCATTCCTCTAGTTCAGTGGAACTAGAGGTTTTTTTTCATGATCGGCTTCCTAAGTTTAAAAAATATTAATTTGTTCTCACGAAATTTTAATACTGCTGATATATCCCCGAGGGACGTGCGGGTGGCATCTGGGAGGAAGGAAATGCCCCAACTCCTCAGCTGGTGCTGGGCACCGGGTGTGCTCAGCTTGCAGACACCACTCTGTGGTCTGTCTCTGCCCCCCACTATTTGTATGTTGAGTCCTAACCCCAAAGGTGGTGGTACCTGCTGCAGAGTCTTTGGGGGATCATTAGGACACGTGGGCAAGACTAACCCCTCAGGATGGGGTTAGTGGCTTAAAAAGGGATCCCAGAGAGCCCCCTGCCCCTCATACCATGAGAGCACACAGAGAAGAGACCCTCCGTGAACCAGGAAGCTGCCCTCACCTGACACCAAATCTGCTGGCCCCTTGATCTTGGACTTCCCAACTTCCAAATGGTGAGCAATAAATTTCTGTTGCTGATAAACTACCCGGTTTCCTGAATGGACTAAGACATTGAGCTGGTCACCTAGGATATGCACCTTTCTAGGATAGATGAGATACTTTAGTAACACATTTAAAAGACACTGGAGGGACTCCCTGGTGGCCTAAGGATTAAGTCTCAGCACTGGCTGTCACTGTCATGGCCTGAGCTCAATCCCCCACCAGGGAGTGACCCACAGGGCCCAGCAGACCTCTCCTGTCTCCCCGCTGCTCCCTCAGCAGTGTGTTTCAGTCCATCTGCCTGTTCTGCTCCTCACTCTGTGTCTGTTGAGTTCTCTCATTCACCACACCTCTGGCCTGCACCCCAGTTCTTCTATGCAAAAATAAATTTAAAAATTAAGTTAAAAATAAAAAACACTGGTGACCCTCCCTGATGGTGCAATGGATTAGGACACAGCACTGCAAGAGAGCCACAGGCACCTCAGTGCAAGTTCGATCCCTGCCCCAAGGTGACCTCATGGCACAGCAGACCTCTCTGATCTGCCTCTGCTCCCCTCAGCAGTGTGCTTCATCAGTCTGCCAGTTCTGCTCCCCACTTTTGTCTTGGGTGAATCCTCTCACTGCCCCTGCACCTCTGGCCTGTACCCCAGTTCTGTATGCATAAACAAATAAATCTTAAAAAAAAAAACCCACTGGAATTAATTGTATTTAACCAAACTTCTAGAAGTATATGCAATTGGGAGTCTTTATGATTGTTCTATTCTGGGCCAGAGCTGACGTACACTGCTGAGGGGAGCAGCGGGTGCGAGAAGAGAGGTCTGCCGCATGTCCCTGGCCGGGGATGGAACTCGTGCTGTGGTGGCTGCGGACAGCTTCACAGTGCTGCGCTTAAGCTCCACCACGGAGGCCCCCACTGCCTGTTTTTAAAATAAACTTTGCCATTCTTAGAGGCGTGTCTCTGGTGGCTTGCACCCGCAGGCATGGTGACGAGTTGCAACAGACCGTCAGTTGAAACAGCCTCACAGAAATAGCCGCCGAGCCTCAGCTTTGAATGATCAGTTTTAGTGTGTCTGTGGTTCTGCAATTCTAGAACTTGATGTTCTCACGGTTTTAGGATTTTTGTTCTTAAAAATCAGATTTGAAGAATTTAACAACGTAGGTTTCTAGGTGTTTGAAATTCTAGAGTCTAAGGTTCTAGAAGGTTCCAGGCCCCCGGCTTTTCTCCCCATTTGCTCTCATACCTGTCTTCACCTGGAGCTCTGTGCCGTTGCCCTTGGCCTCCTCCAAATCCGGTATCTCCATTGTCATCCTGCACGTGTAATGCCCACTGTCATTGAGGTCCACACGCTCCAGTCGTAGGGTGAGCAGACTGCGTGGCTGCCAGGAGAGCTGTCCCCAGGGCCCGCAGACCTCCATTTTCGGGTCCTCGTGGGTGATGAGTGACTGGCACAAAGTGTCATTGTCCTTGGTCCACTCAGCACGCATCAGCTCCCAAGCCTGGGCCTGGGTCACGCAGCAGGCCAAGGTCACCTGGCTGCCTTGCCTCACCACCAGCCACGTGGGCCCCAGCTGCTGCACGCCCAGGCCTGTGGCTCCTTGAAGGCCTGGGGGACAGAAGGCGGGTGAGGACTTTCTCAGAACCCCCGTGTGTGCGACTTACTCCCCGATCACCCTGCAGGGCTGAGGGAGCCGGCCTGGCTTGCAAAGTCTTTGCAAGCTGACTTCTCACTCGCGCTCCAGGCCCTGGGCTGGGACACGGCTCTAACACGCAGCACTCCGCACTCCGCACACACGCATCATGTCGTATATACCAGGCCCTGTTCTGGTCACCGCGGCCCCAGGCACAGATGTGAGTAAGAGAAAAAAAAATCCCTGCTGAAACTGACAGGCTGGGCAGAGAGACAGACACAGGAAGTCGTGAAATGAGAATCGCCACGGAGGAAGCCAACGGAGAGTGGCCGTAGAAGAAATGATGAACGAGGAAGAGCTTACTCATCCAGCACCGTGGGTGGGGAAGACCTCTTGAAGGAAATGACAATCTGAGAGGGATGGGAATGATAAAAAATAACCAGCCACGGAGTGCACCGAGCAGCATTGTAGGCAGAAAGGCCCTGGGGCAGGACCAAGCCTGGCCTGCGGGAGGGACAAACCAGAGACCATCAGAGTGTGGGGGAGGACGAGGAGTGGACTCAGGAAGGTCAGCAGGGGCGGCCGGTACAGACCTGGTAGGCTCCACGGATGATGAGGGGTGTTGCGGAGCGGGGAGGGGAGGCCAGTTTGTGCTTATCTCAGGGTGAGGAAAGCCTAGGGGCCAGGGAGGGACGCCGCTGACTGAAGCTGTTTGTCCCTCACCCTGTCCACGTTGGCGCAGTCCTAGGCTCTGCCCTGGCATGGGGCCCCCTAGTTCTCCGGCCACCACCTTGCCATGCTCTTCCCTGCCCCGTTTAGAGCCCCCTAAGTGCGTGGTGAGGACAGACTTTAAAGTCTGTGTGTGTGTGGGGGGTTCCCTGGTCTCCATGGGTTAAAGCGCCACCGTAGCTGTTTCAGTGCCTGTGAGTTCGATCCCCGCCCGGAGGTGACTCACAGGGCGCAGCAGACCTCTCCCGACCCGCCCACGGCTCCCCTCAGCAGTGTGCTTCGTCGATCTGCCCGTTCTGCTCCCCACTCTGTCAGTGAATCCTCTCACTGTCCCTGTGCCTCTGGCCTGTGCCCCAGTTCTGTGTGAATAAATGAATAACTCTAAAAAAAAAACTATTATAAAAATAAATAAATAAATAAAGTGTGGGGGTCAGATGTGACATTCGAGTTGAGCAGTAGTGGGGAGCAGGTCATGGAGAGGGGTGGTCAGCCTACGCGTAGAGGGTGCCCCCAGAAGAACTGCATGAAGCCTGGCCTTGGTGAGAGGGATGAGGGCTTGAACCTGAGAGCTGTGTGAGTGGGTGATGGCTTCTGGTCCAGAGGGGCCACAATGAGAGGTTGAGTAGAAAGAGTTTGCTTTCGGCCAGAAGAAGCCGGAAATGCCCAGTGGACCCCTGAGGAAAAGTGGGTTTGCTTTCCATTCCTATCACTGGAGATGCAGCGGCAGCTGGTGCCAGAGGAAGTGTGTCCCAAAGAAAGGAAACAGCAGGAGCAAGGCTGAGCGGTGGGCTGGGTGTTAGGAAAAAGGAACAAGAAACACCAGCAGGCCAGACACGGGGGCAGGGCTCAAGAGGAGGGCCGATGTGAGAGAGGTCAGAGGCCGGTCACTAAGTCTGGCCTGCAAGTCGTGGTCTGAATTTTATGCCATGGAACAAAACACCCTTTGGCCCTCCTGAGCGTCTGAGTTTCCAAGAAAGACTGGTCCCATTTAGCAAAGCGGGAGACTCGGGCTTAGAGGGGCTCTCGCGGGAGGGGCAGGCAGCTGAGGTGATGGAGAAAAGGAGAGGCACAGGCAGAAGGCCCAAGTACTCACCCCAAAGCTGCTCCAGGAGCACGAGCACCATGCCCAGGGACCCCATTCCTACTGGGCCAGGAGGGACCCCTCTCCCGTTGGTTCACTTCCCCCACCCTCCCCCCCACTTGACAGACTTCCTGCCACAACCTCCGCCCCCAGCACAAGGCAGATGTGATAGACGCACCAGGCAGAGGACATCCTGTGGCCAGTGTTGATTGGGCCTCCACTTCCTGCCCTGTGTGCCTCAGTTTCCCCAAAGGTGTGTTGTTGCTTTAAATCTGAAAAGCAGTATGCATGTGGGTAGAGGTAATGTATCCCAGCAAGTAAAATCTTTGGAAAACTCTACACAAACACACCTGGGCCGGGAAGTCAGAATGGAGACACAGGTGACGCCGGTGGGGAAGGGTGCAGCAGCTGACGTCTGAGCAGGGCTGTACAGCAGAACCCCAGCCTCAGTCATCTCAGCCCAGAATGCCTTCCTTTGGGTTTCAGACACAGATGTGAGGCTTTCCCTGACCCCAAGATCTGGAGAGAAGTTTGCGGGTCCAGTTGAGAGGGTTCATACTATCTGGAGTCTTTGAAGGGCTCACCATCTCCAGCAGGGTAGGCCTCCAGGCCGGCGGGGGAGAACTCCCCAGCGAGTCGCATGTTCAACCACAGCATGACTTCCTTTCTCGCAGAGAGAGGAAGGCCTGGGTCCTTCGCAGAACTGCTCTGTTCAGCCACCCGGAGGCCCCAGCGGTGGTGTTCTGCCCACAGGACACCCCCCACCCCACCCCCACCCCACACTTCACACACTTGCCTGCTCAGTCCTTCCTCCGCCTCTGGACTTTCTGAAGGTCCACTTTCCCTCCCAACCCCACTCTCTGCCAAGGTGCAGTGAAACAAATACTGAATAGATTCAGCACCAGGAAAGACAGAGCTGGACATTGACATCCTAGCAATATGAATCCGCGACTGACAGGCTTTTAGAGATATTTGAACTTGGGGCTTTGTGGGATGTATAGGAGTTCATTGGGATGTGAGGAGGAAAAGTAGGTATTGGAGGCTGAACATTAGCTTGGGCAAAGGTCTTGGTTTTTCGGGTGCTAAATATTGGGGTGGGGCATGGTGGGGCGGTTTGAGTAACTGCCTAAGTGAACACGCCGAGACCAGGGCGTCCAGAAGCCTAGGGCTGGCTTCAAGGTTGGAACCGGGGTTCTAAGGCCCAGGTAACCCGCCTTATAGCTTCAGGATCTCTCCAGCTCTGGCATCACAACCCGAGGGCTCCCAGCTCTGGGGTCGCACCGGGTGGCCACTCCCGGCGCGGGACTACATTTCCCGGCATGCCGCGGCCGGCGCGCCTGCGCGCTGTGGCCAGTGATGGAGCGCTGACGGGGGGCGCGGCGGCGGCTGCGGCGGCAGCTAGGGCTCGGCGGGCCATTGGCTCCCGGCATTGGCAAGGGCAGCTCTGGGACTGGGAGACCTAGCGGGTCCCGCGGGCCTGGTCGGGGAGACCCGGGCTGCAGCCATGGAGGACCAGAGGGTAAGACAGGGCGGGGCGGGGCGGGGTCCCGGGCGGGGGTGGGCGAGGGAACCCGACCAGGTGGTGCCGCAGCGCCTTCGCCGCCCTCCCCAGCTGCCCTGCGGCCGAGGCCCCACCCCCGCCCAGACCGAGCCTCCCCCTGTCTGGACACAGCCCCCCTTCCCCTGCGCCGACCTTCCCAGCTTGGCCTGAATCCTAGCGCATCCCTTCCATGCCTCCCACCCTCGCCAGCACCCCGAGCCCAGCCCCACCCCCCCTTCCGTCCAGACTGCGGACCAGGTGTCCAGGCCCCCCAGCCCCCGAGGACGCCCCTGTCTCAGTACTGGTGACCCCATTGACCCTGCGCCCCCAGAACAGGGGTCCCTTCAAAGCAGGGGTCAGAGCGCAGGCCCCAGCAGCTGCCATCATCCCCTTCCCCAGAATTCCTCCTCCCCCACCCTTACCTGTGCTCTCTGGCACCCCCTTTCCTCTGGCTCCTCTTTTCTCCTTGCTAAGCCCTCCAGGGTATCCCCTTCCCCAGATTAGCTCATTTTCTGCAGACCCTTTCCTCTGGGGCTTGCTCTCCCCCAGGAAGCCCCTCACGCAGGCTGTGCCCCACCCTGAGGGTGCAAGTACCTGGCTGAAGGCTTTGTGCTCAGGCTGACCTGGCTCCAGGGTATGTCACTTCCCCAGGAGCAGCAGCGCTCTTGAACCTGTTTCCTGCCCCATAAAGTGGGCTTCTTGATGTCCCCCTGCTAGGTGAGGGGACTCAGGGCCAGAACCCCCCAGGGTCTGCCTTGCAGCAGGTGCCCAAGCTCACAGACACAGGCCCCTGCACCTCCCCCCTGAGTCTCCTGGAGGCAGAGTGGGCCCCCCCTGGGGAATCCCTGACAAGGCTAAGGGGCGTACCTGCCATGTGTGCTCTGTTCCCCTGGGTGCAGGAGGCTCTTCGGAAGATCATCACCACTCTGGCTGTGAAGAATGAAGAGATTCAGAGCTTCATCTACTCCCTCAAGCAGATGCTGTTGAATGTGGAGGTGAGCAAGACACCCCCTCCTCCAGCCCAAAGAGGGAGGTGGGAAGTCCGGGCCAGGTGAGTGGAAGGGAGGGAGTGAGCAGCCACATGAGCAAACCTGCTGTAATTCTCACCTGTGGGATGTGTGCCCGCCTGTGCCCACGGAGGACCCCGCTGGCCATTCTCACCCCACAACATCTCCTTAAGGCAAACTCGGCCAAGGTGCAGGAGGATCTAGAATCAGAGTTCCAGTCCCTGTTTTCCCTCCTGGAGGAGCTGAAGGAGGGCATGCTGATGAAGATTAAGCAGGACCGAGCCAGTCGGACCTACGAGCTGCAGGTGTGTCTCTGGGGGGGCTCTCCTGGAGACCTGTCCAATGGCGCCCCCCACCGTGACCCTTGGGATCCGTAGAGCCCTTCTGGTCCTGGCTTTTCCCTTCACATCAATTCCTTCCTCTCGGAGGTGCCCCTGTGTCTCTCCAGTATCCAGAGCCAGGCACCCCATAGTGTCGACCTCACCTTTCTTTGTTCTGCCTGCCCCCTGCCGATCCGCCAGTACCCCACCCCATCTCCACCAGTGCCGATCTCTATGTCTGGCTGCCCTCTACTTTCTCAGACAGAATCTCCAGCGTCTCAGTCCTGTCTACTGGTCCCCGAGATCTGATAGTATCACCCTGATCAAGCACTTCCCATGGCTCCCATGGATCCGATCAGCCTCCCCAGTGACTTCCTAATGTCCTAGATTCCCGCCCTGGGGATGTGGACCCGAGGGCTTAGGGGTGCGCTTTTCAGGAAGGGACCTCCGGGCGGTGTGATACACGGCTCAGGAGCCAGACCCAGCCTCTTGTAGCCTCCCCCTGCCATGTGGAGCCTGAGGGAGACGGGTCCTGGGCCTGAAGCTGGTGGGGAGCCCTGGGAGGGTTTAATGCAGTGAGATGAGGTGTCTGTGCCTCTCACCCACAGAACCAGCTGGCTGCCTGCATGCGGGCCCTGGAGAGCTCTGAAGAGCTGCTGGAGACGGCCAACCAGACTCTGCAGGCCACGGGAAGTGAGGGCTTTCCTCAGGTGCGTACCTCGGAAGCAGTAGGAGCAGTGACTTTTTCGCAGAAGTTCTTCCAATGCAATATTTAATATAAGTTTATCTCAGTGATTGCCTGGACATCATTTTACTAAAAATATTTTGTTGGGGGAGGGAAATGCACTGGACTATGGTGATGGCGCAAGGGTGATTTGGTGAGGGGAAGCCCACAGGGATTACAACTGAGATGGAAAAAGGCACAAAATGATGTAAAAGTAAACTATCATATTACTTATTTTAAAAAAATTATCTAACAATTAAAAAAAATTTTGTTCACCTGAAGTTCAACTGCAGTAGTACATACTTTTTTTTAGTGTAAGTGTACTCCATGTATATGTTTACGTTAGGACATACTTAAACTAAAAATATCATTTATTGTTAACCTGATATGCAAATGCAACAATGAACAATTTACATAAATAGATTCCATGCAAATATTTAGTGTAACTATATCCCAAATCTTTGATGGGCCACACTTAGGCTAAAAATTTACTATTTTTTATCATTTACTATTGATCTGAAACTCAAATACAGAATGAATAGTTTTCTAGTATAAGTATATCCCATGGAAAATGTCTAGTATAAGTATATCCCAAATCTTGGATGAGACTTTTATGCTAAAAATACATTTATGGTTCATCTGAAGTACAAATCTAACTGGACATCCTGTATTTGGGGAGGGGCAGTCTGCCAGAGGTGTGCAGTGGGCACTGGTCATGAGGGGGTTGGAATCTGTCTTTGTCAAGGGATAAGAAACTCCAGGGTTCCTGCCCCGAGCTGGGGTACTTTGGCAGCTGGTGGCCACACTGGGCCTCAGTCTTCCTGTCTGTACGGGGCCCTTCTGATTCAGGTGAGACTACTCTGAATTGTATTGTCTTCCTCTTTCTAGGCTGCCAAGCAAATCAAAGATGGGTAAGATGCTGGGATCTGGCACCCACCCCCTTGCCCCGCCTCTGGTGTAAAGGTGGGGACACCCAGGTGAGGGCCCCTTGCCCCAGAGCAGTGGCTAGAACAAGGGGGAGGGCCCACACCCACCTCGGAGGACCAGGCTGAAGCCCCCTCCCCGCCTGCCAGCAGACCTCTTCCGCCTCCTTCCCTGCAGAGTGACGATGGCCCCCGCCTTCCGCCTGTCGTTGAAAGCGAAGGTCAGCGACAACATGAGTCACCTCATGGTGGACTTTGCGCAGGAGCGGAGGATGCTGCAGGCGCTCAAGTTCCTTCCAGGTGAGAATGGAGCTCACCAGAGGGCCAGGGTTTGGGGGAAGTGGCTCCAGAGTGTGGGGTGGCCTGAGAGAGCCCCAGGGATGGAGCCCCAAGGATGATGCCCCACTCTTATGCCAAGCGGGTGAAATGTGCCTATGGGAGTCCCAGCCCCCCAACCCCCTCCCAGGCAGAGCCCTGAGCATGCCGGCCCACACTCCCCTCTCCCCCGGCCCTGCGCACAGCAAGTGCTCAAGAACTCTGCGAAAGTTTACTCTAAAGTTGGAGGCCTTGTTGGTGGGGCCCTGCAAACATTGCCTGTGCCCCCACCCCTTGGGGGAGACCTGAGGAGGCCTGGGCCAAGTGCGGGCTCCAGAGGAGCCCTCCCCAAGGATGCCTGATGGTGGGCCGGCCTCCAGCTGGGCCCCAGCCCCGAGGGCTCAGGACCTGACCCTGGTCTCTGCTTGGCCCCGGGCAGTGCCCAGCGCCCCGGTGATCGACCTGGCCGAGTCCCTGGTGGCCGACAACTGCGTGACCCTGGTGTGGCACATGCCGGACGAGGATAGCAAGATCGACCACTACGTGCTGGAGCACCGGCGCACCAACTTCGAGGGCCCACCCCGCCTCAAGGAGGAGCACCCCTGGATGGTCATCGAGGGCATCCGGCAGACAGAGTACACACTGACGGGTGAGGCCTCCCCTGAACTGCCTGGTGGCGGCTCTGCCCGGGGGCACCAGAGGTGGTGATAACACCGCAGGCGCTCTGGGGGGCTCCGGGCAAGCGCCTCCCTGTGCGTCAGTCCAAGCTCAGCCTCACCGTCTTGCAGATCAGGCGCTGCCAGAGAGAGCACC